GTGCTGGCTATTGGCTGGGATGCTTTCGTTCCCCTCTACATTGCCTCTCCAAGTGGCTAGCTTGGGCCTTCTCACAGTATGGCAGCTGAGTTCCTCCTCACAGTATGGCAGAGGGCATTCCAGGAGGGTTAGTACCATTGTGCAGGTGCTTATCAAATCTCTGCTTGCATCATGCATGCTAATGTCCTATTGGTCATGGCAGGTCACACAGCCAAGTGAGTGTGTATGTGTGGGTATTGGGGGCAGGGAGTGACTACCTAAGGGCATAAATCCCAAGAGACGTGGTTCATTGGGGGTTACCTCTGATTCTCATGGTCACCGTCCTGCATGCCTGGCATCTGTTGCCTCCCACTCGTGGCAATTTCCTTCTCTGAGCCCTGGGACTTGGGACCACTCACATTTTGACCTCGTTTCAGGGAGGAGGAGGCAGGAAAGCAGAGAGCATGAGGACTACCATGTGTGTGAGACGATGATGGAAAGGTTCACAAGGGAAGATCTTGTTTAACCCTCATCAGACATTGCCTGGGAGGGGGAAAGTAGCTGCAGAAGGTTCCAGATCCCCAGGAGAGAGAGCCAAGCCCTGTCATAGTCCACAGGCAGTCATCCAGAAGCCAGCCCAAGACAGGGGCACATCTAGGGAGAGCCTTACTATGGCCACAAACCCAGCCACCCTGCACCAAGGACTCGGAAGAAAGAGGCCCCACTGGGAGAGTGTGAGTGGGCAGGGCCCCAAATGTGGCTCCAGTCAGAGCAACCACCAGCAATGCGATGTGAGACAGGAGCCTGCTGCAGGTGGTCATAGCCTGCAGTCTCTGAGTGGGCAGGCCCGGGATGCCTCCATTGCAGGGTGCCCTGCGACTGCAGAGCCTGGGGCGGCCCAAGGGAAGCCCTATGTATGCAGTGAGGGTGGGGAGACCTTCAGGTGGATCTCACACTTTGTTGAGCATCACAGGAGCCACACTGGCAGGAAGCACTATGCCTGCCAGGGCAGCTGGAAGACCTTCCACTTCAGCCTGGCACTGGGCTAGTACCAGAAGATCCACAAGGAGAAAAGTTATGCACTGGGGAGTGCCCCAGACTCTCACCCCACTGCAGGCGGAGCCCATGCTGGTGGGAGGCTCAGTAGGCTCTTGGAGAGCATGGAAGGTGATGCTGTCCCTTGTGTGATCTGAGGCACCCAGGGCCATTGTTTAAACAAAAATCTTGCCAGCTCTTTTGGCCTATTCGCAATTACATCATGTCAAGTTGACTTCTGAATCCTCAAAAGCAGAAACTGTTCCCTATTTAACTCATGTGTCTTTATCTGTATGGAATGGCTTATAAAGATTACAAAAACACTTGGAAGCTAGTAATGCAGGGTTTTAACCTCAGCCTGTTAGCAAATTGTGAAGTCAAATTAGTGAGTGGCCACCAGCATTACAAAGCAGTAAAACAGAATAAAATAGGTCAGAACACAAAGAACACAAAGGCAAGTATTATTTTGTGAAACTTTTCAGCCATATATCTAAATACGGGAACTGGGTTGCAATGTAAAATGTATCTCTTACTGGGGTCATGATCAAAACAATTTGAAAACACTAATAAAGGTTGATGAGCAGATTTGTCTGCCTGGACACAGGGAAATTAAATTCCTTGGGCTACATAACGTAATCATTTGACTTTTGCATTTAATCTCAGATTACAGAACTGTTTCCATTACCTGAGCATAAACTTAGTTGCTCTTTTTAGACACAGAAGCTGGTGCCTCTTTCTGCCGCTGTTTGAGTACGCGATCTGCTGGGACAACTCTCAAATCACAGAGGCTTAACACAATAAAGGATTGATTTCCTCACTTGCATTACAGTCCAATGTCTTGTGATTGTTGTTGCGGTTGCTTGTTTGTTGGTGGGAGTGATGCACTGCTCCATCTGGTGATTCAGGAATCCAGGCTCCATACCCGTTGTGGCTCTGCTCTCCACTGGACCTTGGAGTATGTGGGGAAGTTCACACCTGCTCTTCACTGCTCAGCCAGGAGACACTTCACTTCCACTCACGTTTCCTCCTCACACTGGTTCAGAAGAACAAACAAGGTTCGTGGGGCTGGTGCACAGAGGTCTAGGGTAGACTGAGACCAGAAGGTGGACAGATGCCTGATCAGGTAGGACTTTGCCTACTGGTGAGGATTTTCTCTTCATTTGATAAGCAATAGGAAGCCATGGAGGCTGCGAGTTGGGAGTGACCCAATTGTATATGCATTCATTAGAAAGTATTCTCTCTCAAAGAATAATAGTTACTATTGTTGCATAACAAACGGCCCCAAAACCAAATGACATTAAATAATATTTTGTTTTGCCCAGTTTGGAAAAAGCTTGTCTCCATAATGTCCAGGCTTCAGCTGGGAAAACTTGAAGGCTGAGGTACCTTCAAAAGTTGGGGGGCTGGCATAATCTGAAGAGTTGTTCAACACTCACATGTCTGGTGAGTCTGGGAAGACTCAAGGACTAGGACTGCTAACTAGAACTTCCGTGGCTGTGGCATCCTCACAGCATGATGGCTTCACAGCACAGAAGTCCTCATCTGACTTCTTACACGACCTCTCGGGGCTCCAAGCACAAGTGTTCAATGAACAAGCCAGAAGCTGCATGGCCCTTTCTCATCTAGCCTCAGACGTTTTCTCCATTTTTCAGTCTAGCCTGTTAGGAAATGCGTTCTTCCCATCTTTCCTTGTTGATCTTTTACTTTTGTGCCAATAATTAAAGCCCTAACAGCAGTTGCCCCAAGTAGGCCAGACCCTCTAGAGCTGGGAATGCATTTGCCCGTGCAGTTTTCCTCACATCCTGGGTGTTTAACTCCCTCATGTACTCTCCACTGGTTGAGCACCATCAGGGAAGGGAGTCTAATCTCCTTTTCCCCTGGTTTAGGGTAGAAGTGACATTATGGGCATCTTGCTGTGAGTCCAAACTCCCGGTTGCACTCCTGTTAATAACATCACAGTGGGGCCAGAAGGAGGAGTTGAGTGGAAAAGCAGGAGCCTGCACCAGTTTCTTGATGATGATGCTCTACCGATTTCAAAGGACAGTAAAAGAGCATGAGTCCATTGGTATGCAGTTGGGTTCCATTTTTACTGAACTGCATTGGAGGAGCCTTAATATCCCTTTCAAGGGATAATGTTCTATAAGAACATCCCTAGAGATCCTGAAATACACACAACTAGCATTATGTACTTTCTACACGGGTAGAAGCCTGTCTTGCCATTTAAACAATCTGATCCCTACAGCACACCTGTCTGGTTTCCTTAAGGACAAGAAGCTACCCGAGAACAGAAACACAGGAAAAGCAGGATACATGTAGTAGAGGGAGGGAAGACAAAGTTTATCAAAGGACCAAGGCTGCTAAGCTGGACCATCCAATGCAGTGGACACCAGCTACATGAGGCTCTGGAGCACTTGAAATATTGCTGCGACAAACTGAAATGTGCTGCAAGTGTAAAATAACTGGATTTTGAAGACATAGTACACATTAAAAATGGTAAATGCCATTAATAGTTTTTTATATTAATTACATGTTGAAATGGTTAACATTTGGGACATATAGGGGTAGATATTAATCTTACCTATTTTTTTTTTGCTTTTTAAAATGTGACTACTAGAATATTGAAAATTACCACTTGTATTGTTTCTATGAACAGTGCTGCCATGCATGATTTACCAATTTTCTTAAATAGCATTTAACTGAATCTGAAATTAATCCCCCCAAAAGCACACTGAGGAACAGCATTGAAAGGGTATTTGCAACATGGTACCCCAGAGAGAAATTTCAAGTTAATTGGAAACTTAAATCCCAGCATTTTGATTAGTAAAATCCAATTAATTGATATAATCAAAACTCATGGTTGATGATCAAAAACAGCCAGTGCAATTTAACTATGAGTTCTAATTAGGGTGGCAAGCCACCGTGTAAAGGTCATGGTTGGCAGGAATGAGGGGAGAAATGTAGGTATGGATTGGTATTGCAGATATTGGTATATATGCACATATATACATGTATGTAGATTCACGGTTCAGGTTAAGTTAAATACTATGTTATGCCTTCGAGTTAAATTGTGTAAGAACAAAATCTTACTAAACATCAGGATGTAGAACTGATGAAAAAACAGTTAAAGGTAAGATTAACTTGTACATTTCCCAAAACAGATAAATCTTGAAAAACAAGGTTCCAATGTGAAGGTGCTGTTGCTCATGAGATGGTGACTTAAAAAAGGAAAAATTTTCCTCTTTTTATAAAACAGCAACATGTGTTTACAATGCCCATGCGTCCTGCAGAGAAATTTATAGTGAGAACAGAGCAGCAAAAGCTATCACAATCTGTGAAATTCCATGGAAGTGGCTCTACATTTCAAGTCTTTCCATATAAAACTTTACAATAACATTGCATATAAAGATTAATTTATTGAAAAAATAACGCAGTGATAGCTAACTTCAAATCTGCATACAGTACACTGATATATGGAATTCAAACCTATGAGACTGGTTGCCTGTATGCTAATCAGAAAATTTACATACAAATCAGATAGTTTTGTACTGAGACAACTGAGTATCCGTGGTGATTCCATAAAGATGTCACTCTTGGTTCTGGAACACATCCGACCATATTGATTTATGGGAGAATCAGTGTCAATTTGCATCATTCATAACTTGCACTTTCCCACCCTAAGGACATAATGTGCAACAACAAATTCTGGCTTAATTTTTTTGAAAGGCATTTGTTGGGTTTCTCACCACTTTGAAATCTCCGGTTTGGAATCTGGCAAATCCTTGGACAGAAGCCATCCCCAGATCTACCACATTTGTTCCATTCTCTCTTTTGTAGATTCTATCATGTAGCATTAGTTAGCACTCACGGTTGAAGGCGCTCAACATTGATCATCGCCGCATTTCCCTACTGATCTGATATCTGGGGATGGATGACCTAGGGCTTGGCATTCCCATCATCATTCCCATCATTGTGAACTCTCTGAGGGTGACTGGGGTGTACTGTGTGTGAAGGCTTGGGTATTAAAGTTTGTGTTGTTTCTCACCAGTGTGACTGGGTCAAGTTCAGTAGGGGATGAACTATGGCTTAAGGCTTTCCCACATCCCCAGCACTCACAGGGTGGGTCTACCCAGTATGAGTCCTCTGGTGCTTGGTAAGGGAAGAGCTGTGTGTGAAGGCTTTCCCACAGTCCCTGCACTCATACGGCTTCTCTCCTGTGTGAATCCTCCGGTGCTGAGTAAGGTGAGTGCTCTGTCTGAAGGACTTTCCACAATCCTGACATTCATAGGGTTTTTCCCCAGTGTGTGTCCTTTCGTGCTGGCTGAGTGATGAGCTGTGACTGAAGGATTTCCCACATTCGTTGCATCCGTAGGGCTTTTCCTTGGTATGAATCCTCTGGTGTTCTATGAGGAGGGAGCTCTGGCTGAAGGCTCTGCCACACTCATTACATTCATAGGGCTTCTCTCCTGTGTGGATCCTCTGATGCTGGATGAGGGGGGCGAGCTGGCTGAAGGCTCTACCACATTCATTACATTCGTAGGGCTTCTCTCCAGTGTGGATTCGCTGATGTTTACTTAGGGATGAGCTATGGCTGAAGGCCTTACCACAGTCATTACACTCATAGGGTTTCTCCCCAGTGTGGATTCTCTGGTGTTGAGTGAGGTGCGTGCTCTGCCGGAAGGCCTTCCCACACTGGCTGCACTCATAGGGCTTTTCTCCTGTGTGTGTCCTTTCGTGCTGGCTGAGTGATGAGCTGTGACTGAAGGTTTTCCCACACTCATTGCATCCATAAGGCTTCTCTCCTGTGTGGATCCTCCGATGCTCAGTCAGGAGTGTGCTCTGGCTGAAGGCTTTCCCACACTCGTTGCACTCATAGGGCTTCTCTCCCGTGTGGGTCCTCTGATGCTGAATCAGTGGTGTGATCTGAGTGAAGGCTTTGCCGCACTCATGGCACTCGTAGGGTTTCTCCCCAGTGTGGATTCGCTGGTGTTTGGTCAGGGATGAGCTGTGGCTAAAGGCCTTGCCACACTCTCCACACTGATACGGCTTCTCCCCAGTATGGATTCGCAAGTGCTGGGTGAGGTGGATACTTTGTCGGAAGCCTTTCCCGCATTCGCTGCACTCGTAGGGCTTTTCACCCGTGTGAGTTCGCTCATGTTGGCTGAAGGAGGACCTAAAACTGAAGGATTTCCCACATTCGCTGCACTCGTAGGGCTTCTCGCCTGTGTGAGTTCTCTGGTGCTGGATCAGCGGAGCGATTTGGTTGAAGGTCCTCCCACACTGATTGCATTTGTAGGGTTTCTCACCAGTGTGGATTCTCTGGTGTTTGGTAAGTGCTGAGCTGTTTCGGAAGCCTTTTCCACATTCATGACATTCATATGGTCTCTCTCCCGTGTGTGTCCGGTGGTGTTCGATGAGTGCTGAGCTGTGACTAAAGGCCTTTCCACATTCCCGACACTCATAGGGTTTCTCTTTTGCATAGGTTTTCTCGTCAGCATTTGAGTCTGGTTTCTGTCTCTTTCCATGTGTTCCCCACATATGGGGGTCTTGTCTTTCAGGAGTCATTGGTTGATCAGGAGTCACTGGTTGAGTTGGGAGATTGGGGCTCAGACTCAGGTTTTCTCCATCCCATTCCTGTGCTGCTGCTCCTGGGTGTTGTCTTCACAGGTGTGAAGGCCGCCTGCATCACACAGCTGTCTGGGCTGTCACGACTCCACTCCCCGTGGCCCTTGGCATCTTCACCCCTGGAGGACCACAGACCATCCCACAGGAATCTTTCTATCAGGACATCATCAGATAGTTCCTCAGAGATGTCCTGCCACAGAGCTGAGAGTTTTGTTTCAGGTCTAATTTCCGAGTCTGAAAGAAATAAAAAGTGGAAATGTTCCTTAATGCCTGTTGTGAGGACAAAATGAGTTTGTGGGGGAGAAGGGGAAGATAAATAAAACTGATGATTTTGAAAGGTTCAAGCACAAGTAGCTTTGACCACGTTAAAATATGTCTTTGCAAACCAAGGAAAGAACAGGAGGGGGAGGGAAAACACAGAATAATGGGGGGAAATGGGTATAAGGGGTACAGATGGAGTTTGTAAGAGAATCACAGAGAAAGAGCCTGAGGAGACAGCATTCGGGGAAAACGTGGACAGATATGCCAGGTTTGGAAGGAGCAGAGTGATGATCATGCCCTGGCTAAACCAGCCTTCACAAGGCCAGGTGATGACAAGTGGAAAAGCTGCCACATGGGAAGGGCCACCCAGCCCAGCCTTCTGGTCACCAAGTTCTGTTCTTTCTTGGAAGCATCTCATTGTTCTACCATCACACTCCAGATGTAAAAAACCCATCAGCTCCTCCAAAACTGGAATTAGCTGAAGTGTCCATCAACAGTATGGATAAATGACCTGTGGTATATTTTGATCTGGTTTATTTTCTGTCTATCCCACTAACTGGGAACACCCCTGAGAGGAGGGACTTCTGCACACTTTAGTCGATATACCTGTATCGTGATATTTCTGTATACCTTGCCCACAGAACAAACTCAAGAATGTATGATTGAACTGATGAATAAATGTATTCCCTCCTCCTCCTTCCCAGAAGGTCTGCCTCTTTGACTTGGTACCCAGTTCACCCTAGGCAGCCACAGTTTCAGTGCAGGCTGCCCCCACCCCACTCCAGATTGGCCTCCAGGTGGGTGTGGGCACTTTTCCAGCACTGTTATACTCCAGTGAGAAGTTTAAAAACCTAATAAAGGTAATGTGGGGTGTGGCAGACAGAATAATGGTTCCCTTAGAGATGTGCAAGTCTTAATCCCTGGAAACGTGAATATATTACCTTACATGGTGCCTAGGAATTAAGGTTTCTAATTGGCTGATATTAAGGCAGGGAGATTATCTTGGATGATCTGGGTGAGCCCAATGCAAACACAAACCCATTGCTATGAGTCGATTCCGACTCACAGCGACCCCATAGGGTTTCTAAGGCTGTAAATTTCTACGGAAGCAGAGTGCCACATCTTTCTCCTGCAGAGCCACTGGTGATTCTGAACTGCTGACAACGGTCCTTAAATGCGGAAGAGGAAGGCAGGAGAGAGTCAGAGTGACGAGATGTGAGAAAGACTTGACTGGCTACTGCTGACTTTAAAGATGGAGGGGGTCATGAGCCAAGAAATGCCAGTGGCTGCTGGAAGAAGTGAGGAGACAGATTCTCCCCCTAGAACCTCCAGAAAAGAATGCTGCCCTGCCAACTTGATTACAGCCCAGTGAGACCCACTTTATTAATCTTCTGTTCTCCAAGAACTGTGAAATAGTTAATTGGCGTTGTTTAAGCCACGAAGTTTGTAGCAATCTGTTACAGCAGCAATTTTGTTCTTGTTGCTGTTACTAGGTGCCCTCAAGTCAATTCTGACTCATAGCAACCCTGTGTGACAGAGTAGAACCGCTCCATAGGGTTTCCTAGGCTGTAATCTTTAAGGGAGCAGATAGCCAGGTCTTTCTCCCACGGAGCTGCTGGGTGGGTTCGAACTGTCAGTTTTTCGGTTAGCAGCCGAGCACTTAACTGTTGAGCCACCAGGGCTCTTTACTGAAGTGATAGGGAGCTAATAAACTGGGTAAGGGCTGGAGGGCCAGGGCTGGTTACTATCCGCAGCTTGGGGAATGCCGTTGTGGCCCCCGTCCTCAGTGGTCGGCTCTCCTCAGCCCTAGTGATGGCATCATGGGCCACTTCTTATTCAGGGTCAGGGCCTGACGCCAGTGGGAAATTGCCCGCCAGGGTACCGGGACACCCTAATTCTTAAAGTTGCCGCCACTGATGGGGTCTTTCGTGCCATGTGAAGAGCATGGAGCATCACACTCCCTGTGGTCCAGGGACAACTCCAGGCTACTGTGCTATGGAGGCCAGGCTCCTCCGAGCCCTGCAGGCTCCCATCTCACATGGGCACATGCCTAGGGGTACTCCCGCATCCGCCACCCACAGTTCGGCCTCCTGCTCCAGCGGAGACGACGTCTGGCTTGAGGTGCTGCTGGGGGGGGGGCGGGGGCAGGGAGTGAGCGTTTGTATCCTAGGACCCGCCTGGGCCCTCCTTCAGCTTCACCCTTTGTCTTCCAGGTCCCAAGTGGCTGGGGCGCCTCGAGTAGCTGTGGGAGCTGCAGCTGTTGTGAACAGCCCGATGTTCATCAGGGACCCCCTTCCCTCACTCTCAGTCCCTGACTCCACCCCTCATTTCTAGGTGGACATGTGACCCAGGCCTGGCCAGAGCCCTGCTTCCTCCCTTGCTTCCTGGTGGTCATGACCTATGTGGAGGGGAGCCGGTGGCCAATCTGTGCCAACTCAGTGCCCCTCAATGGGTGCTCTGGACACAGGAGGGGCACCCTGGTGGCATCTTTGATGGCCAGGGGGCCCACCTGGGAATGCAGCTGGGGAGGAAGTGAAGCACTGCAGAAGACCTGGGACCATCTTGGGGGAGTCCACAGTTACGGGGCCCAGTGTGTTCCCTAGACCTCATGGTTTTTTTGCTTCTGGCATTTTCAGGTGGGGTCTGTGACTTGGAACCAAAACATCCTAAGTGCTATTTCTTACTCCAATAAAACAGTCAAAACCTCACATTGGGGCCAAAAGAGTAAAAATCTTCTTGCTGGAACGACCCAAAGCAACAGGGAATTCAAGCTCCTGAAACCTGAGACACAGCCCAGATTGTGCTTCTTAGACCCAGCTCTCTGCTCAATTTTAACCCCTGGAGAATTAAGAGTCTGTGCTGGGATCAGACCATCAGGGACACAGTCGCAGCCTTACCCATGGAGACCAGGAGCCCCAAGGTCTCCAGCATCACATCACGGTACAGGGTCCTCTGGGCAGGCTTCAGCTGCCCCCACTCCTCCCAGATGAAGTCCACGGCCATGTCCTCAAAAGTCACCTGCTCCTGAACTGTCACACATGAGTGTCCTCAGCCAAGCCGAGCCTGGCACTGACTGCTGGTGCAGGCGGCTGATGAATGGGAGTGCCAGCCAGAATAGGCAGGATAGAGTTCTTGTGGGTCTGGGGAGATGGGCCAGGTTTTCCTGTACCTAAGAGGCCAAGCTTGTCTCCCAGTAATGTGGCTGGAGAAGTCTTGTTAAATAAGAAATGGCATCAAGGAGCCAACAAGGGGCGGTCAGTCACGGGTGTGCTGGGTTATTCAGAATTGTGCTTTCCTGGAGGTGTCTTTGGAATTGACAATTGTATATGGGCATTAGGGGGAAGGGAACATTTGGAAAACTATCAGGGTAGATCCCTGCCTCACCTCTGTGGCCCAATAAAATACAGATGGATCCATGATCTAAACATCTCAATGTTTCATATGAATGATGCAAACCCCTTGAAAAAACATGAGATTAAAAAAAAATCTTGGGGTGGAGATGATCTTTCTAATCAGGACACAAAACCCAGAAGCTCCCCCACTCTCATGTTGTTGTTGGGTTCTGTTGTTTCCGACTCATAGCGACTCCATGTAACAGAGAACTGCCCCACAGGGTTTGCTAGGCTGTAATCTTTACAGGATCTGATTGCCAGGTCTTTCTCCTGTGGAGCTCCTAGGTGGGTTCAAACCACCGAGCTTTCGGTTAGCAGCTGAGCACTTAACTGTTGTGCCACCATGGCTCCTTCTTCACTCTCATATTAGTTATTTATTCATGTGTAACAAATCACCACAAACTTGGTGGCTTAAAACAACACTCATTTATTATCTTATAGATCTATGGGTCAGAAGTCTAGCACAGTGTGGCTGGGTTCTCTGCTCAGGGTCTCACAAGGCTGAGTTCTCATCTGGAGTCTTGGGAGAAATCTGCTTCCAAGCTCATTCTTGTTGTTAGCAGATTCACTTCCTTGAGGTCCCATTTTCCTCTGGGCATCTTTGGGGGCCATTATTTTGCCTACCACACACAAATACACCATTCTTTCTCTTCACGGCTTTTAGTGTTTTATATCTTATTTATGAAGGCTTTCCCTACCTCCAGGTTTATGAAACTACTGGCCTATACTTTTCCAACTTTTTCTTTCCTTTTACCTTTAGCTCTTTAGGCTTCTGGAATTTATTTTTGTTTATAGTGTGAGGTGGGGATCTACCATTTTTCCTCCAAATAGATGGCCAGTTGACCAATATGTCCACTGATTTGAAATGCTTCCAATTTCACACACTGGATTCCCACTAATACATGGGGGCTTCGTATACTTGAATTTGATTTCTATAGTGAGCATATCCGTAATAGTTTGGATTCAGGCCTTGGTTTTGCTTCTTACTAGCTTTATAACTTTGGGTTAGGCATTTAAGTTCTCCTGACCTTGACATCTTTATCTATAAAATGTGGGTCACAGCAACAAGGACCTATCATGGGGTTGCTGGCGAGATTAAATATGTTGATGTGTTGGTCCTGGGCCTGTGAATACATTATGTTATATGGCAAGGGGGGAAGTAAAGCTGCAGATGGGATTAAGACAGCTAGTCAGACGACCTTGAGATGGGGAGATTTTGTGGATTATCTGTGTGGGCCCAATGCAATCACAAGGGTCCTGATATGGATTGGACTGTGTCCCACCAAAATGTGTAATTCCTAACCTCTATGCCTGTAGTTATAATCCCATTTGGGAATTGGTTCTCTTTGTTATGTTAATGAAACATAGTTAGTGTAGGGTGTATCTTGAGTCAATCTCTTTTGAGATATAAAAGAGATTAAACGCAAGCTGGCAAGTACAGATAGGGGAAGAGAGATGCCAAGCCACATGAAG